GTTTCAAGAAACTTTTTAATTTCATTTTTTATTTCTTCTTGTACCCAGTCATGTTCAAGCAAGTTGTTGTTCAGCTTCCAAATGTATGATATTTTTTTCTCCTTTATTCTCTCGTTATTAATTTCTAATTGTGTGGTGTTGTGATCTGAAAAAATGACCCATTTTAAATACTTCAGATATATACTAGCTGTATTCTCAAAGACCATCGCCTTCGTGTTAAGTACATTCTCCTCAGTAGGTGCACTGTACCTCCTCAGTATGGCAAACTGAGTGGCTTAACATAACAGAAGCATTGCTCAGTTCTGGAGGCTCAAAGTCCTAGTTTAGCATGTCTGCAGGCTATGTCTTTCTGAAGGCTTTCTGGGAAGCTTGGTCTGTTGTGTGTGTGTTTTTTGTTTTACCCCAGTTCCTGGTAACCTCAGTGATTTGTGATAACTTAAATCTGGTCTCTGCTTCTGACTTCACATGGCCACAAGAACTCTATTTGTATTTTCTTCAGCTATGGGGAGGCTCTGACTCAATGGTACACAGCAACAACAGCATGTACCTTTTTTTGGTGTCATTATGTATCTGTATAAAATCCCCAGTGGTATAGTGATTCAAGCACTCAGATGCTAGCTGAAAGGTTGCTGGTTCAAACCACCACCAGTTTCCAAGAAAACAGATGTAGCAGTCTGCTTCAGTAGTGATTTATAGCCTTGACAAAACAATGGGCAAGCTCTAGTCTGTTTTAGATAGAGTCACAAAGAGTGGAAACTGACTTGATAGCGGTCAGTTTGGTGTTTTTTTTGTTTGTTTTATATATTTAAGCACATGGCCAGCAGGGACCAGTCCTTGGAGAAGGACATTATGCTTGGAAGGGTGGAAAAACAGAGCAGGAGAGGAAGACTCTGAATAAGATGGATTGATATAGTAACTACTGTGATAATAGGGTTAGGTGTGTCAAGTCAGTGATATTGGCTTAGGACAGGGCAGAGTTCAGAGCTGTAGTTCATAGGGTCGCTATGAATTGCAGGTGACAGGTAACAATTAAACATACTTGGCTACTCATCAAAAGGTTGGCAGTTTCAGTCTACCAAGAGACACCACAGAAAAATGATATGGCAATCTACGTCTGAGAAATTAGCCCTTAAAAACCCCAAGGAGTATAGTTCTATGCTGATGCACACAGAGACAGAATTGATTTACTTATTATATAAGAATAAGGGAACTTGTTATCTATTATCTCTTCTTACCTCTCTCTCCTTATCTTATTATCTCTTTGTATATTTTGATAGATAGATAGACAGACAGACATATATATAGGCAAAGGATGAGCAGTCTCCTCCTGTGCGATTAACTGCCTCTGAAAACTCACCGAAGAGTCAGCTATGGGTTAATTCTGATTCTACAGTATAAAACAATACACACACACACACACACACACACACACACACACACACACTCAGTTGCTGGTTCAATCCACTAACCATTCCCCAGGAGACATATTTACAGTCTGCTTCTGTAATGATTTACAGAAAACCCAATGAACAAAGTCAGGATCACAATAAGTGAGTCAGGATCACGATAAGTGAAACTTGACTTGTCAGTTTGCTCTCAACGACTTCATCTTACTTGGACCCACAATCAAGAAACTTGGTACCAGTAGTCAAGAGATCAGGAGACATATTGCTCTGGGAAAGTCAGGGCCCTCTCCAAATCTGTGAGAAGTAATGATGTCAATTTAAGAACTAAAGTGTGCCTGATTCAGGCCGTCATGTTTTCATCACTTTACTGTGCTGTTGAGAGTAGGACAGTGAATAAAGATGACAGAAAAAGGAATTGGTGCCTTTAAGGTGTGGTGTTCGAAAAGAGTACTAAATAGCCCATGGATGGCCGAAAGACCAAACAGGTACATTTTGGGGAAAGTACAGCCAGAGTACTTCTTGGAGGCAAATATGATGAAGCTTCATCTCACATATTTTGGGCATGTTGCTAAGAGAGGCTATTCCTTCTTGAGAGACTTCATGCTTGGGAAAATAGAGGGGCTGCAAAAGAGAGGAATACCCTCAACCAGATGGTTTGACATGGTGATTGTGGCAGTGGACTTGAGTGCTTCAGAGATTGTGAGGAT